AGCTCTGGTGCCGGGTTTGGGAGAGTTTGGAAGCCCTTGCAGGGCAGATGGAAAGTCTCTCTCCCGCCTGCTATTTCAAGTTCTTTGACTGTTCCTCTCCTTCTTTTGTTTATAGCCTTCTACAGCTGCATCCACATTGTAGAAATAGTCACCACTTTAATCTCCATGGCTCAGTACTATGGAATCCTGGGAACTGTAGTTTATGGTGGCATCAGAGATCTCTGACAGAAAAGGATGCATGTTTCACAAAGCAACAATTCCCAAAATTCCATAGCACTGAGTAATGGCAGTTAAAGTGGTGTCAAACTGGGCAGTCCCTATGAGCCTCTTTTGCTTCCTCTTCTTTGCCTTGTACTGTTCCTTCAATTACTTTATCTCCAAGCCTTTTATTTCCTTTATAATGTTTTCAACTGTTGTGAGTATCTTCCCTGACTGTTTGGTCATCATATTTCCTCCTCTTTCTTAATTTGTAATAAACAGAGGGGAAGAAATGGGGGGGGGGGGAGAGAGAGAGTTGTGTCACTTTTAAGACTAGCCAGTGTATTGCAGCATAAGCATACAAGAACTGTGATCCATTTCGGAATTCCAATGGTGAGTTGAAAGATTAGTGTTAAAGTTTAATCTTAAAGGTGTCACCTGTAAGATTTTTCCCCCCTTCCTCCTTTATGGCACGATTGTCTCTCTGAAAACTACTACAGTGGAAATCTTCTGACTTGATAGCACTGTCTATATCCTACAGTACCTTGCTTCTCAATTGGAACATGCAAAAGAAACTGGATCAATTTCCTTTTGGTACAAGAAAGTTAATGTTTGAATGGTCATGCGAGTTCTTCCTAAACAGTTGACCATGTTTGTCGGATGCAACTGGCCTTGGCCTTTTTGACTTCTACAGATAAAGTCCAGTTTATCTATGCTGCCAATATGAATTGTTTTCTACCAAAATGTGTCATTCTGAACTCAGTATTTCACATTGCACATACCATGGGTCCCTTCTGGAAAAAAAGTGGGATATATATCAAGCAGAACATGTCTCTAGGCAGCCTTTGAATATCCAGAGACACAAGAACCACTACCACTCATCTTCTAATAATTCATTTGTCCTGTATATGTAGGAAAATCAGCTTACTTACTTGTTCAGAAAAACAGACTCCTTTAGGTGTTTAAAGATCAGCTTAATAAGGCCAGCACTTGGGCAGAGCCATCCGTCCTACTAGGTAAGAAGTTTAATTCATTTTGTTTCCAATTTGATACAATACAAGAAACAAATAGTGGAAATAGTTGCTTTTAAAATGAATGATACAATTGCATCATTCTCTAACTGAACTTATCAGGATCTTAGTAATAACTCATCAAACAATTTTTAATTGAAAGGATCTTTCTGGGTATTTATGATTTAGCTTTAGGCTAGGTTTACCTCACCTATGTCTGCATGAAGAGAAAAGTTTGACAGGACTGGGTATTTTTCTGAGAGGCTGGGGACTTACCAAAGAGAACAATTCAAACTGATCTATCAATAGCCTTGGAGGAATTGCCCATAAGACCTCCAGTGTATTCACAAGTATCTACTTAATAGAGTCTTGGGCTGTGGATACAGGGATTTCATTTGCATGCCTCATCTTCTGTATGATATATTTCTGAAAATTAGGGTGGTTGGATTCCTTACAGGATTTCATGGTAAGTAATGGTTTATCACACAGAAGAGGAAGCAAGCTTATTTTTTTTCCTGGTGCTTTAGAAACCATGACATAAATGAATGGATTCAACATGGAAGATTCCACCTAAATAATTTGGAAGAACATACTGACAGTAAGAACTATTTGACAGTGGTATGGACTGCACTGGAGGTAAATGAACTTTTCTCCATTGAAAGTCTTTAAACAGAGGTTGGTTGGACATCTCCCAGGAATTTCTGTGTATTCCTATATAGTAGGAACTTTATGATCCCTTCCAATTCTACAATTCTGTGATAGAAATAAGACTACCCCCTCCTCCAACTCCTTGTCTCTTCCAGTGTTTGTTGCTATGTGCCTCCAAGTCCTTTCTGACTCATGGCAACCCCAAAACCAACCTATTATGGGATTTTCCTGACAAGATTTGTTCAGAGGAGTGACTTACCCAAGGACACCCACTGGGTTTTCATGACTGAGCAGGGGTTTGAACCCTGGCCTCCAGAGTCCTAGTCCAAAACCCAAACCACTATGCCATGTTGGTTCTCTCTTGCAGTGTAGTCATAAAGAAATTGGGAAAAATCTGCCTACCTTTTAGAATAATATGTTGCCTGACATTTAAACTGTAGTTAATCTTAACTATGCATATTTGTAAAGACAGCTTTATGAAGCTGGCATCTTTCAGACTAACCACAGTTACTTTTAATTGGTTGAACTTGGATGACATGGCAAGCTGCATGTAATCAAAAATAAAAGCAAACATGACTTCCTCACAGATATACAAGAGGAGGGGAGATCAGGGAAGGCTTACCTGGAGGCATTGGCTGTCATCATACTGGTACATTATGCTAGAATTACACTTTTGCTTGGTGAACATATCTGTGGCAAGAGAAGGCAGGCAAAGTTTGCCTTCTCTGGGCAGTCTATTTCTCCAGCCCCTTACTTTCTTCATGTGCTTTTTCCTTCTGCTGTCACCAGCTACACTGGCATAGTTACACTGACATAGTGAACAATCAGGCTCCTGGTGTAGGCAACAACAGCAACCACCACCATCACATCCTTTATTACAGTCAACCAACAAGTAAGCAACACATTAAATACATAGACATGTTAAAATAACACTGTAAAAGATACCCTTTAAAACATATAATGCCATTTACAAATATATTAATTGTTACAAAACAGCACAAAAATAAAAACAAGGTAGATATTTGTATGACTTCTTTAAAATAATTTTTAAATGTCACCTATATTATTCTCACGCAAACCAAAATTACACATATGACATATAAAAGCATTAATTAACAGCTGTACAAACAACTAGAATGTTAATGGCCATTGTACAGAACAGATTGTTATACATGTGCATATATCATAGTCTGATGGATTTTAGCAGAGGAAAAAACGTAGCCACCACTTTTATGCTTTTATGCTGTTATGCTTTTCTCAGAATCCCCTTGTAAGTTCAACAAGTACCAGTCAAAAGGCTTGTTTACAGCATAATAAAACATGTGTCATAATGAAGGTACATAATATTCTAAATATTTCTGAGTCATCTTCATAATGCTAGCTGAACATATGGAGTTCCTTGATAAGGAAATTCTTTTCCCCATTTATTCTTCCTGTAAGATTATATTGATGCAGCCATAAATTATAACATCAGTCAAATACAAACCAATTCCCATGTTCCACAGAACAATTATGTGTTACATTTCATTAAACCATTTAACAGAGTTGCTTCCTCAGTTGAGGCTATAGTAATAGCTATCAGTATTACAATCTAATGAACAATTACTGTCCCCCTCTGATGATCATTCAAAACCAATTTCAAATCAATCCGTCTTGCAGCCTCCCAGCTTATACTTCTAAACTTCTATTGAAATTTGACCATGTTCACAAGTATATTCACATCATCACATTTATTTCATAATTATGCACTGAATTAAGGAATCTTCTATTGCCAAAGTTCTTTGTATATTACTGATTGTTTACACTCCTTGGAATGGACTGATTCACACTGGGACCAACCAAATCACCTCCGATCTTGAGAAAATTAGCTATGACAACTAATTTAGCCTTGAAAGTTATAATAGTAGTTATTATTTTAAATAGCCTCCTAGGAAAACATGGAGGATCCTAGGAGAACTTGGGGGGTGCACACCCCACTGGGGAAAAAAGTTTTGTTCCCATATTCCCTAAGCTCATTTTGGGGGGTATTTTGCCATATTTTGGGTCCCTTTGGGCCATTTGGGCCCAGAAGAGGCCTTTTTTTTTTCAAAACAGGAAATGACCAGAAGTTAAAATAGGCCTTTTCTGGTGTAAAATAGGCTGGTGGCTCCTCAAAAATGTAACAAAAATGCTCTCACACCTCTTGAGAGCATTTGGGGGCAAAAAAGATTTTTAGGGTCCCCCCCAAGGGCAACAAAATTGGCTGGGGCATACTTTAGATTTGGAGCTTGTTTGCAAACTCTCTCTCTCTCTCTCTAGATCGATCGATCGATCGATAGATATGAGACTAGTTTAGAAAGTGTGCAATGCTATGTCCTCCCTTTATCTGCTCCACCTTTATTAATCAGAAGCTGGAAAATAAAATGTTTTGGAGGATAACATGGACTAGTAGATGCTTCCTGTATCTTCCATATATGCACATATCCCTCCTCTGATTCCCAGCATACAATCAAAGTGCTGTAAGAGAGAAAAGGGGCTATAGTACCCTAATCCTCCTCCAGTAGCTTTGTGACTAAAGGCCTTGGCAGACGACTAATTGAGTCGTCTTCGAGGCAAAGAAGAGGAGGGGCAGCCGCACGTGCGGCGCCCCTTCCTCTTCCTGAGGTCGTCCTCGGAGCCGCCGGCCCTCCGCACGGCCAGCGCTCCGGGGACAACCTCCTGCTACAGCGTCCGCACGTGCTGTGGCGGAAAAGGCAGGGAAAGTGCACCCTACGCTTTTAGGGCGCACTTTCCCTGTCTTGTGGAAGGAGCGCTGATTTAGCGCTCCTTCAAGGGACGCCGCCGGACGGAGCGCCGCAGTGCGGTGGCTGCGCTCCCGCGGCGCTCCGTCCGGCGGCGTCTCCGGCACCTCCGTCTGCTTCCCCCCTCAATTGGATGGATTTCCTTCTTGCCTGTGACTTAGAGGGGTTGCAGACTGCCAGAAATAGTCCACTTTTAGGGTTAGGGTTAGGGAATCATGACAACTGTATTTTATTGTGGCACCAGAGCTCTCTGACAGAGAAGGCTCAATGTCTCAGAAAAAAAACACAATTCCCATGATTCCCTATCACTAACTCTAACCCTTAAAGTGGACTCAATTTGCACTATTTCTGGCAGTCTGCAACCCCCCTTACATGCCTTGATTTTAGATGGATTTAGCCCAGTTTTTACAAATAATAGATGACATGATAAATTTCTGTCACATAAGATTATTGTAGCACTAATTAAACTGGTTTACCTGAGCTGGCTTAAAATTTAAAATTTAAACCAGGCAGCATCCTGATCTTATCACAAGGCCATTCAGCGTGGCTTTTTTCAAAGATGGGAGTTTTCCAGCTTAAGGAAATGGTTGCCTGAACGACCCTGGGAGCAGGGCTAGACCTGGGCTGGATCCGGGCACCGATTTTGGCAGCTAAATCCTTGTAATAAGATCAGGATGTCACCCATTTTAAATTTTAAGCTGGCTCAGGTAAAATGGTTTAATTAGCACTGCAATAATCTCCACAGTTACACTATTTCAAAACCTGCCAGCAAGGGAATACAAACTGGAATGTTTATTTTTTCTTTTCTTTTTCTTTATTAAGATTAAAATCCTTCTCAGATTACAAGTCTATAGATAAACAAACAAAATGGTTCAGTATAACTAAATAAGGAACAAATTAAAAATGTGAAACTGTTCAATACCAGTCAAATGAAAATGTGACTATTAAAGCTATTTCTTTCTCATATACCTTATGGGTATTACATCTCATCATTTTAAATATGGTTCTAGAGGTTCTAACAGTGTCTCCACCAAGTGTTTGATTATAGAACGCCTTTCCAAATATCTTGGTTGTATTCCAGTTGTCCTCCCAACATGTGTCTGCATATACAAAGTCAATAAATTGGTACCATTTTTCAATAAAAGAGTCTTGGTTTGTATCTTCTGTTGTTCTTCTTATATTGTCTGATAGTTTTTCAAGCAACCAGGTGTCCCATATATGATTCCACCACTTTTCTAATGCTGTGTTGCCTGTTTTTCAAGCAGTAGCTATTTCAAGTCAAGCCGCTAGTAAAATAATAATAATAATAATAATAAATATTTTTCTTTCAAATTTTTGTTTTCCTTTACTATAAAGATAGTAATAATGGACCAGAGCAGAACTTTATATCCTGTTTGGTGATGGTAGAAAATAGTTTTTAAAGGTTTTGCCAAAATTAATTTACTGGTAATAACGGCAATGTAGTCATATGTGGGTGCATGTACCAGTTTGGTTACATACCTCCACCATTTAGAAGTTAGTGTTTTGACTATCTATGAGATTCAAACTGGAGTAACATTTATGTGTGATATTTAAAGCACTTTCCCTAACTGTTGCAGAACAAGGTGTGTTCCATATATTTATCAAGTTTTCATCTGATATTTTAATGTCTAAGTCTATTTCGCAATTTGTTTTATCACTAGGTTAAGCTTGATATCTCTGCCCCAGTAAACAACTATAGATGCTGGAATGTTTATCTATCTATCTATCTATCCATCCATTCACACATTCACCATTCAAACATCCATGCATGTAGAAAATGACATCTCCACTAGATGATTTCTGGCCTAAGCTTTTTTTTCTGATAACCTTACCTCCATGCATGAAAATCCTTTCCCACACCACTCAAATGGAGGAGCATTCCATCAAGTTAGCTGTCAAAGCTTTCTGAAATAAGCATAGGTTTATACCTTATCTAGGGTGCCATACCAATTAACTCCACCTAAACTTGAGGTTATGAGTCCATGGCTTGATTTGGGGCCTTCCATGAACTGTTGAGCTAAGTGAATTAAATAGTGTAATGTGAAGTAACCTTGCACCAAATCACCATACATTCTATATATTTTGTGATCACAGTCCCAGTTTAATAGTGTGCTGGGGTTGCCAAATAAATAGATCATACTTGTGGATAAAGTTATTGCATTGTCATGGATGTTAGAGAAAAAAGACAGATTGATTGCCAATTCAGAAGCCCTTTCATTCTGGTACAATGCATCATTTCACTAGTTGAAAATATAGCTGACTGAAATCCTAGCTGCCTAAATAACCTGTTCAATACTCTTTGCCTCATGATTAGATTGTGCTGCCTATAAACTTGTAGAATGCTTAAAAAAGAAAATATGAGGTACAGGTGTATTTATTCTTACATGAAGCACAATTCAATATGGCTGACCTCTCATCTCTGCCTTTTTTCACTTTGTCCTTTTCAGTTATCTGTTTCTTTTAAACCCAGTCTTTGCTGAGCCATGTGTGCCAACAACGGTTAGACCTTTGTCCACTTTCCTCTTTACTTGCTGCATTTTTATCTCCAGATAAG